AAAGTATTTTGGGGGACATTTCCATGCTTAATAATGTGCTGTCCACATTTGATGGTAGGCAATTTTGATTAAGTAAGGGTATTCGGAAGCAATATTCCTCTGTGGAAGATCGGCCGGTCAATGTGAGTTACGAAATAAAGAAATTCTAGTTCAAAATCAAATCGTTCGATTTTTGCGGCAGACGTTCGACGCGCGTCTTTCATGCATCTCGCGAGATCTCGCAATTGTTCGGAAAATCACCTATTACAAAAGTACATTGATAAACTGAACAAACAAATTGCAAAAATGACCTAATACTGTAACACTCCCATCATTACGTGAGATTGTTTGAGAAATGGTGACGTAATTCCGTAATACAAATGTACATGTAACACAGTTGTATTAACACACTCACAGCGCTTTCTCGAAAGTAAATGTTTCTAATTGTTTTATAAGTTATGTTTCTAGATTTTTTTTATGTTTCTAGATGGTATTCATGCAAATACATTTCGTGGCAATGAATTCACGCCTTTAAACTATCCTGATGATTGTTTGATATTTATTTACTCAAAATGAAGCTGAATTACAAATAAGAAGCAATTCTGTATATGTAAAATTGAGGTCCCATAACTCTAGTTTAAGTAGTCATACTATAACATTGTGTATTTTGCACAACATACGTTGCATAGTAGTTCAATAGTCTTATACAGAAAGGGTTACCATGAAGATAGGAAAATTAAGGTTTTCATTGTGCTCTCTGTGTTTCATTAATTTAAAATGCGAATAAGTATAAAAATGGCTTATTGCTATATAGTTAAATATAAAAAGTAGATGTTATTTGTGAAAACTTCAGTGAGCAAAAAGCTAAGAAAAATGAAAACACTTTTCAAAAAGCATGGTTGTCTCAATTTTTCTCCCACATTCATTCCATAATAATATTCCAAGATTCATTGTGCCCATTCCTATATTCAATTTTAACCTAAATAAACGGCAGTTCCACCACAAACTGGTCCAAACTAGTTTGAAGCAAGTTATGTAGGGCATCGACGAAAACGATACAGACAAACACATGTAAACATACACGTTCATGAATACCTAATATCCCTTGATTCAGTTATTTATAACTGTTTTGTTGACCAAACTAGCCAATCTGACTGTTGTACTCGTGCCAGTGTACTTTTTCAGACGTATTTTGCATCGCAAAGCCGTGTAAATGTAAAGCCTTGCCCAGTGTACGAATCAAATACAGTTTCTAACAAGAATTGTTATGTTATTAGACTTAACATTAAATATTTCAGCTGATTTCCTGAAATGAAGATAATTTCGTACGAGTAGTTGTCATAGCTACACAGCGGATAGACGCACGCCTGGATGATATGAGCATGCGCATTGTCATACAGAAGCTCATTGGAACCGTGCTCATTTCCATACGCAATTATTTTTTTGTACTGTACATACTTGGAGCTAACAACGCCACTTTGTTCGAACGAATCGCATTTTCTAATCCAATGATTGGAACAACATCCTACTGTGCATCGATAACAAAAATATACCATATATTGTTCGAAAGTTGAAGCCAATGCCCCCTTTATCGAACGACCCACAAAAAATCCCACCATTACTAAATCTCTCCAAAGTCGTATTATGGCAACTGTATCGTAATCAGATACGAGCAATCACTCTTTAGACGCCATTAAACCAAACACTCACAGTAGCTAGAGTTATGCGTATCGCTTTCGTTTTCCTGCCACAAAATGTTTATATATTTTTCCTAAATTTCCATCGACTAGATGGTGATCTTTAAACAAAAGACTCCCGCGTTGCTTGTTGTTTCCCTTTCCGGTAAGTTGGAATAGTTTTTTGTCGACCAAAGTATGCAAGGCTCCAGTGAGGCAGGCAAGCGAGACGCAATACAATATAGTCTGGTGTAAAGTACTGAACAACAAAAGATTCGGCGATACGCTAGAACGGCGGTGTTTATACTCCCCAAATTTTGGTTTGATATCAACGTACTGCTGGAGTGTGTCGTTTATGTAGTACGAGCTGCGTTTTTTCGCGGTATAAGGTAGTATGTTTGATCAACAATGAAGCCACGTGAGACTCATTCTCGTGTGATGCATTGTAACACATTGAATCATTCTTGGCATTGCACAATTTTGACAAAGTCCACATTATTCAAAATATATTGATTAAAAAAAAAATATACAGTAAACATTAGAAAATAAAGCATTTATGAAAATGATAAATACCCATATAATCAAAATGGCGTTTGACCAGCTAAGCCAATCAGATCGGCTGATTGTGCGCATGACGTACTTTTTTTTAGTGCGGGTGAATTTGTTAAAGGGTTAAACATTGACTGTTTTTACTGGTGTAAAAGATCAGTCACTAATATAAATGTAACGTTACACAAACAGTAATTTATTGACGCGGTATTCTAGTAATATGTAACATCCCATTAAAATGCACTGACACTATGGTTGAGTAACATTATATACATTGCAATGTACTGTACTGCAATGTACCACTGTATACGAGTAATATGTAACGTTACATAAACTATAATTTATTGATATTACGCGAGTAATAATATGTAACATTACATACACTATAATTTATTGATATTACGCGAGTAATAATATGTAACGTTACATACACTACAATTTGTTGATAATACGCGAGTAATAATATGTAACGTTACATACACTATAATTTATTGATATTATACGAGTAATAATATGTAACGTTACATACACTATAATTTATTGATATTACGCGAGTAATATGTAATGTTACATACACTGCAGTCTACTGACACGGCACATACATTGCAATATACTGATACTATTGTGTAATATGTAACGTTACATGCAGAGAAATGTACTGAAACTGTATTTGAGTAATTTACGTACACTGCAAAGTACTGACACTGTAAGTGTTGCTACGTTCTATTGCGAGTTTTTGTATGTACGGCATACGAGTAATATGTAACGTTACATACAAAGAAATGTACTGAGATTTAAAATGAGTAATTTACGTACACTGAAAAGTATTGACACTGTATTTGAGTAATAAGTGTTGCTACGTTCGATTGCGAGTTTCCAATTGTATGTCATATGAGCGGTCTACATTCCGCGTAGAGTGAATCTGGTGGATTGTAAGTCGGTATTCATATCACCAAGAGATTTCTAGAATCTCAGTTTCACTACCGGAATGTATTTTGTCTCAAGTCGAAATATATCTCATATTATAAGTAGATGTTATGCATTTATTTAATTGATTTTTTTCTGTCAGTAAACTCAGTATTGAAAATATGTATATATATCTAATATAAATTTCAGGTTCACGTTATATTATGACGTCACACAAACAAATTTGTTAAATTCTTTTTCTGAATCAATGTTATTGGATCTTTGATAAGCGTACTTGCATACGACATTGCATTTTTCATATTCTTCAACAAGTTGATTTACAATATACAGGACGACAACGATGATCTGACCACCCAAAGAATTATCTAAAACTTTTTCCCAACTGAATGACCAATTTTGAATCTATGACTGCAAGTAACAATCTGTGTCACTGACATACATTAGTTTTGTATTTGAATTGTATTGAAAAACGTTTTTGTTCTGAAATATGACGCATGAATTAGTAAGTATTTCAGCAACAAAACCGCGACCATAGTCTGATCGACTCTCCCGGAGTCAGTCGGGCCCTGAGTGGATGACTCCGCCATTATCGTGGCTAACGTCGCTATGGACGAAAACGGAAAAGTGATATATATAATCTGAGATTATAAACTTGGAATGCTGTCTTTGTTCTATTTAATCAACTAATCTCAATTAATATAATATAATCCAATGTTAGTCGCGACATTTTTTTCCAAATAGGTGACATTCCGTGCGTAGTTACTGTTGTCGTCAACAATGTGAGCACCATTGTCCCAAACTGCGCCAGTCACTAAACTCACAAACATACGAAACGAAGCAGAAATTAGCTTGCCAACATGATCCGTAATTCCACATTCATATTAATTTAATCCATGAAAGAGTCTATTCATGACTCACAGTGTTTGCAAGCGTCGGGTAAACGTCGGCTACATGGCTAGTGAATACGAATCTAACATGACCTGATTGGTTTTGATGTTATCTGAAATATCCAGACAATACGCGTGACAGGTAGAAAATATCGTAATGATACTCATATTCACATCCGGATATGATCTTATACTCCCAGTCAATAGATATGTGTTATAAATATATGAAACACATTAGAAATGAAAGTGATAAGTTTGTAATGGCATAAATCAGTAATTGTTACGGACAAAGTCTCTTTATCAGTAAGATCTCTGCCTATTTTGATTGCACCGAAGAAAGGACATTGCCCGATACGTCTGGATATTCTAAGATTACCGACTACCACCAATATATCTTAAAGCCTTGAAAACGCATGAGGCAACGCAACGACAAAAAACGTGTACAAGAGGCAATTGACTGTGGTGACGGGTGACTAGTTGACTTAAAAACCGATATGAAGTGTTTTTTTTCAGTTGACGTTGTCTGCTGGCCCGTGATTGTATCATACAAACGAGGCGACTCGTACGTTGCTCGGTGCTTTACCGCACGATTCGCCTCACGTAAAACGGCCTCAAGAAGTAATTACTTTTTTTTTATTATCACGAAGAAATAATCTATACTTACTGTTGGTCCGTTTCTGGCGAGGGAAGACCCGACACTGTCGTAAGACTCAACGCCGACCAATAAACAGAATATAGATATTTTCTGGAAAGTGACTGGAAGTCTGCGTGAATGCTGGGATCGGGATACGCCCAACTGGATGTGAGTTCGCCGAATCCTTCATGTTCTGAGACAAGGTAGTAAAAACAACCGTTGTAATGTACAACTACAAGGATCGCGTGAACAATATTGGCCATCCTCCAGAAGTTAGGCATAGCTGCTCGAAGTTCGACCATACGATGGAACTCCACGACTCGGTATAACTTACAGAGACGGTTAATTCTTAAAAACGGACAAACGCCGATTGATAAATAAAAAAAGTCCAACGGTAAGATGGATACGATGTCTAGAACAAATCGCCACGTGCGCGAGTAACGCCTGGCAAGTTGTCGGACATCTTGCACGAACACACCACATTCATTGTAGCCTGTATGAAAACAAATAACGGTGTCAATCAAGTAAGCTACGTCTGACAAGTAATCCAAAGCGAACCAAAATGACGAATATTTTGTTTGAAGTTCAGTAAATGTTCCCCTGACAATTATAGTCCACAAGTTATAAACCACTGCCAGTGTCAGTGTAGTTAACCAGAAGAAAAGAAAGCTACTGTCATCGGGATTCAAAATCCAAGATTTATTTTTCCTACTCGGGCATAAAAATGTCAAGCAGTTCCTTTTACTTTTTCTTTCTGGTTTATCCGTATCAATATGTATTTCGGTTTCGTCCGTAGCGCCCCCATCGTGATCCAAAATACTAACTTCGCTCGTAAATTCGCTTATTGCCTGGCTGTGTGGCCTTGGTAACGCCGAACTGGATCGGCTATCGCTAAACGTTCCACTGACTGTACTGTCCCGACTTTCTTTCCTTTGAGGCACGACGACTTCTCCAAGAGGAACATCGTGATTAGAATTCGCAGGCTCTACACTATTACTTCCCTTGAATACAGTTTTCAACTTTTTCGCAGCTTTTCTAACGCCCGATGCGTTTGCCGGACCCCGTACACCCTCGCACCTGGCAAGCTCTTCTTCCCAAAGATTTAACTCGGCGTCTCCCAGTATATCTTCCTCACCTTCCGCCATTTTGGCTGCTCATGATTGTCCACTTGTTGCCGTCGGCCACTGAATAGGCATACTGCAATTGGAGTCGTGCGCTGGTATACGCATGGGAAAATATCTGAAATTCAGACTTGTGACCAAGCTTTTTATCATGAAATGAAACATACACCGGTTTGTGGCGTTTGATGTGACTGTTGTCATGGAGACGTTCAACAATGGGCGGAGTTTTGTCATATTAACCACTGACGGACGCAGCCGAGAACGCGAAAACCGATCAGAGGCATCAGGGGCGACATTTGAGATGACTCTCAAGAGCTAAATAAGCTGTTAAAAGCACCCGTTATAAAAACACACAACGGAATCGCATCTCACTGAAAAGAATATATAAACTTTAGTCCCGCGTCTACACGTATCCACATTACTACGTAGAACAACAAAACATGTCAAATGCTCCAACTCCAGTGTATGTGGTCACATTAGACCTCAAGAATGGAGATACACCAGAAATCACACGTGGCTTGAATGGTGTTGAATATGTGAAACCCTCCAGAAGGAGGCAGTCAATTGGTGCTCTGCGAGGAGGCACTTGTCACTCGAGAGTTACCACAATAAACGCAGCCTTTTGCACTATTTTGCTGTATTGTACGCTTTACGCGGAGGTCGATGCTACGGCGCACTGTCTGAGGGCATACCTTGAGGCATCCTCGTAATAACCTTATTATTATACATCTTTTCCTTCCAAGGATGGGATACATCATGGGAATGCCGAAATCCAAAATGTCTAGAACAAAATCAGCGAAATTCTTTGTGTGGAATCCGACCAAGCCCTGGTGGCAACCATGTTTTTTTTTATTATTAGAGGACGTTTACGCGCATAATCATTCCATATTTGGAATTCGCATTTCCTTATATGGTAGGAGTGAAAATACCCCGTAAAATACTGCAAAATTACGGCACGCTGTAACTTTATGGCGTTACGGTGACAGATGTATAATAATACTGGTTAATAATAATTATGTTACAACAGCATTACATAAGCCGATCGTCCTGTCT